TTCGCTCTCCGTTCCTGTTTTCCTTCTCACTAGGATGATCACTCTGTCGAGGATGTTCTTTCGTTGTCTTAATTTTCAAAAATTTTTACCTCTTGGAACAACGAATCGTGGAAGATAAACAACAAGTATTATCAATTTCTTCTCCCCGTTTTTTCCTTACAACATTGACCATTGCTGTATTGCTTCATTGTGCATGTATGATAACATTATGTGTATATTCTTGTGCATAATTTTTAAGTTGATTAAGTACCTAAGAGATATAAGCTGCAGGTGTTAATGAACAAGTCTGAAAGACGAAGAAATTTACAAGCAGTGGATTAAAACAACAAATAACGAGCAATCTACTACATAGTATTCACAAGCAATTTGTAGTATTCTGTTGTCTTCCTGATGTTTGGTTACAGATAGAGGATGTCAATTAAATTGAATTCATTAGGCTTAATGAACAGACAAGTGCGATGCTTCACAACGATGGGCCGATATATGAACAAAATCAAAGTGCGGAACGCAGTTGTAGATTTGGATGGTGATGAGATGACGAGGATAATTTGGAGAGAAATTAAGAAAAAGGTGGAAACAGCATTTTCAGGTTGTTCGGAATACTTTAAAACAGAATGAGATATATCTGGTTCTGACTTGGTGAAATTAGTCAATTTAAACCGTGAAAATGGAGCTTCAGAACTTAGTTTCCCTAGTTACTTCCGAATATACTTGATTCAGCCTTTGTATCCATAGATTTATTAAAATACGTCAAGATATTGCAAGATTTGATAGTTTTCTAGTTAATATTACCTTATTTGGATATCGATATAAAGTATTATGATCTTGGCTTGCCAAACCGCGACAAAACTGATGACAGAGTAACACTGGAAGCCGCTGAAGCGATTAAGAAATACGGTGTGGGGATCAAGTGTGCAACAATTACACCTGATGAAGCTAGGTAGAATGTTTTATGGCAGTATCTTTCGAGAATCATATATGTAAATGTACTGTTGATGTAAAGATTTAGTCCCTTTTGTTACTATACATTTTTCATACTGTTCAACGCACTTTATTGGGGCATAATAAAATAAAATGAAATATCTTTGCAGGGTCAAAGAATTTAATTTAAAAAAATGTGGCCAAGCCCAAATGGTACACTACGAAATGTTCTCGGCGGAACTGTTTTTCGTGAACCAATTTTATGTAAGAATGTACCAAGACTCGTTCCTGGCTGGAAAGAATCCATTATCATTGGACGGCACGCATTTGGTGATCAGGTGAACTATGATTTGTTTCGGCGAAGTATCTCTGAAAGGAATTTGACTTGATTCGTAACGAGAGTTCTTTCCTACAAAATTCAGATGAATCATGCAATGGATAGAGCATTCATTTGTCAAAAGAATATGGAACGATATGTTCTGTTGGGTGAGAGGAACATTCATTTGCATTGTTGGTTCCATACTTTTGGCAAATCCATAAGTATCAATAATTCTCTCGTACTAACATTCTGCAGTATAAAGCGAGGGATTTTACTGTGAAGAAGGGTACGAAATTTCAACTCTGTGAAATTATTGACGGAAACGATAAGCGGTACGATGTGTTCACATTCGCCAAAAGTGGTGGTGTTATATTGGGAATGTATAACACTGATGAGGTCTATTTTAAAAATCTACAATATTTAAACATTATGATAAATATTTAAAACATTCTGCTTCAAGACTCAGTGAGACAAGAGATGAATAACTATTTGTTCTGTTGAGGAGAACAAGACGAAGAACTTGAAGTCAAGAATAACTTGAAATCAAGTAATGGCAGAGGGAGAAGTCAGTATCAGTATATTTTTAGTTACGAAGTTTCAATATTTGTTTCCTTCTCTCATCTAGAATTCCTGGCTACTTATTTTGAAAAGTTTCATTGTTCATGAAAGATTTATATCCTTTGTTTAATGATTGGTGAACCTGGAATCAAGGGACTCAGTATTTATTTCTCTCAGTTATTGTTCGTATTTTAGAGTATTACTGATTTTGCACACTCCTGCTTCCAATATGCTTTATCGAAGAAACGTCCAATTTATCTCAGTACGAAGAACACAATATTGAAAAGATATGACGGCCGTTTCAAAGACATTTTTAAGGATGTTTATCTTAAGTACGTTCTACCTTACGCCGTTATGCTTTGTGGAGTCATCTGGATTGTTGTTGACTTGAAAGTTTCAGGAATTACGAAAATGATTTCAAGAAACTGAATATTTGGTATGAACATCGACTGATCGATGATATGGTCGCTCAGGTGCTCTCGAAATCATCCTGCATTTATCCTGTCGAAATTTCTTTGAATATCGATTTCAACAAAGGAAGCTCTTCCATTCTAAAATAATTCGCTATTTCAGGTGCTGAAAAGCGCTGGTGGCTTTGTATGGGCATGTAAGAATTATGATGGTGACGTACAATCGGATATTATTGCCCAAGGTCAGACGGCAATCTGAAAATCGTCTTTTAACGATTTTTTGGATGGTTGTAGTTGCAGACCTTTCAAAACATTCAAATTTTCATCTAAATGTGTCACTGCCCAGGTTTTGGATCGCTAGGCTTGATGACCTCAGTGTTGATGTGCCCAGATGGTAAAACAATAGAAACAGAAGCAGCACATGGTACGGTAACACGGCATTATCGTGAGCACCAAAAAGTAATTATTACTTTCCATACATTACAGTACAACATTTAATGGTAATAATAATTTTGCTGTATTTCTTTGCAGCATATAACAGTAATATTTAAATCCCTCAGTAAAATTTAGCGATTGATATCAAGTTTTCATGCAGTCTGACTTCAAGACTGACTACATACAGGACACCTGCTGATTAAAATTTTTGAAGGGTAAGCCGACATCAACGAATCCAGTTGCATCCATATTTGCTTGGTCAAGAGGACTGGATCATCGTGGTAAGCTGGATAACAATGCTGAACTTCGGAAGTAAGTTATTTGCATTATTATATTTGGTGTAAAACAGAAGGTGTAAAGGATTGAATTGAAAGAATGACGAGAAGTAGCAGTCAAGTTGTGACAGATTAAAAGGGTTAATTAATTGATTTATCCATTTTATTACTTATTATTATATTTATTATCCAGTTTATTTATTATCATTATCATGGAATTATAAAGGAAGGCAGCACAAAGCAGGAAAATAGACTAGCTGTTCTTAATGTGCGATAACCCACTGACGTATGGAGAAGTATCCTTGATGTATCGAGATGACAATATGAGGATGAATCTTATATCGAAATTCTGCCATAGGTTTGCACAGATGCTAGAAAAGGCATGCATTACAACAATTGAAGAAGGAAAGATGACAAAAGATTTGGCAGTTTGTATACATGGAACGCAGAATGCAACACAAGCCATTTATCTGAATACGCAGGATTTCCTGCATGCTGTTGACAGCAAACTGCAGTCTCTAATGAAATAAAGCTGAATGGAATTAGGGATTTCTAGAAGAGGTGAGAGCTGACATGAAGATTTGCTGATTTACTCCTCCTTCTTGTGTTTAACATTTTCGATTTGGCCCCATAGTGTCGGCTATATAATACCACTGTTAGCAAGGTTTTGGCCCCATAGTGTCGGTGCATTCGATATATGAAATTCGTTCATTTCCAAGCAGATTTAAATATGCAACCAATTAAGTAGTTCCGTTGGTGCTATGATTTTTTGACTGGATAGTAGTGTGACGCTTAAGTATATCGTTCGATTATTGCGTTTGTTTTTACCATGCATCGAATCTAGTTATAAATCAGTATATTTCCTTTGTATTTGTGCCATTTCACTAGCTTCCTAAGCAGATTTCATGGTGAGACTTTAAACGCAAAATTATTGTTTGCGTGTAATATAAGTTTTGTTTTGATTTCAAAATTAAACATAAACCCAGATTAAAGTACATAAAGTTGAAATGAGCAAATAAGAAAAAAGTATTATGATGCCATGCAGAAATCCCGGTCAAGAAGCAAATTTTGTAACTTGACAGCGGCCGCCGCACATTTTTCCTTCGGAGGAACACACATAATTCGGTATTTTTCACAAAAAGAAGTTAGGCTATTATTAATAACAATGGAAGCTTCTCAATGCCTCTGGTTTCACTTCCTCAAAGTGATCTATCTCGAAAGAATCCCAGGTTATCCTCAACTTGTTTATGTAGACTTTGACGAATTATATATGATTCAGAAGTGAAAGTTGTCACCATAATCTCCAATATCCAGAAATGTGTGTTAGGGACAAATGTCCTCGCAACACGCTATATATATATATAGTACATATTAGCTATATGTAAATTAATTCCATGAGAAATGTGAAAATTAGACAAAGTGGTTCGGGGGAACAATAGGTCGAATCTATGGGCAATTTAAGTAGATCCGCACCAACACTTGTTCACCCTATACTCATCCAAAGAATATTGCAGATAGGTGGCGGCTAACATTGTATTATCAGGTAAATGGACCAACTGAAATGGGCACTTCGAAAGACAATGGGACAGTCAAGCGCGAAATAATTCCTTCATCGCAATAAATTGGAAATTGAAAGACTACCGAACGCTTAGCAACTTGCTCTGGAAAAGTCAACGTTCCAAGATTCATCCTGTACAGTTATATTATGACTGATAGACACACTAAACCGAACGTCTGAACGTCTGGTCGGCCAGGATGACTTCTGTAATTGGTGTGGCATCCTACAAAACCCACTTCGATGTGCTATCTAAAAGTTAAACAAAAGTAACATACACAGTACCTGTTCCATTTGTTCCCCGTATTGCAGTATTGAATAGGACTACATGATCCCGACATTATCTTTCATGTCTTAAAAGCTACCTTCCATCTGCTTTCTTGCCCTCCCCATCTCCACATTTTGCAACTGACTGTGATGTTCAGAACCGACAGTAACTTGATAAAGCAGTACCAATACAAATTGTTTAAAAAGAAACAAAACAAAATGTTTACATTTCCTATTGACATTAATCTTTGCCTGAGTAAAGCATCATCTCCCAAGTTTCTTGGTTAGCTCAAACAACAATGTATGGAATCAGAATCTAGAGAGCAATGAAACTAGAGTAGCTTGGCAGGTCCGACGAGTAAACAAAGTACTTGCTGTTTTCCAACTAAAAACATCAATTGATTTCAACAGACGCAGCAAATAGTGATTAAAATTGATTGAAAAGGAAACGAAAAACCAGGTTAAATTAATATTTAAGTTTCCAATTAGCAACTAATAATAATTTAACCATTCCAGTCCTATAATTCTGTTTTTCGATTTATCAAATTTGAGAATTTCTCTCCAGTCAACCCTAGACCAAGTAGAGAACTGAAAATTTGCAAATTTGCCGTTCTACTCATTGTATAAACCCTCACTTAAACCAAATGAATAAGCGCAAAACACACCGAATTAAATTCAAAACTGACAATAAATGAATTTTTCTTAGTAGTGTGGACAAATAAAGGACAGCTAAAAATAGAACAAATTATGAGAGATTACTTATCTCTAAGATACCAAAAAAAAAAGAAAAAAAAGCACATCAGCTTATTCCAGTCTTTACAAAAGCGAAAGCATTATCAAAAAATAGTTCTCTAACGACATAGGACATAGTTTATTTATATATGACAACTGATAATTTTAGGAAAGCAGGAGAGACGAATCCTTCTAGCAACTTGCTTTTGCTTGAATAGGTTGAATGAGGACTTCCATGGCCGCTTGTTTATTTGAAAACGGTGATTCTGCTAGGGGGATACACGATGAACGGGTAAAGCCACTTCCTAACGGTGGTATTACATCCATGAATTGTTGAGATTTCAGCACACATCCAAAACGAACTCGAGCTGAATCCGACCACAGATTATCTGCCTGTACTAGCACTTTGCAAAGAAGTCGATAAGTCTGTGCACTAATTTCTTTGAATTCGCTTTCCCGTGGGCAAAATAAGATCGAACTTCGATCCGGATAATCCGTCTGCAAAATTTGCTTCCTCATATAAAACTGTTATAGTACTTCTGTCCAGATTTGACAGATTTCCTTACCACTAATATTATCTTGCAATATTTCAATTCGTGGATGCATAAGGAATTTGTTACAATTCCTCCCTCTGTAATATGCTGTTACCACACAAACTCGTCGTAATCAACCTGTAACATCACTATCCTTTATTCAGTTGGACAATACAAACCAACCTTTATTCTGAATTGAAAAATGTCATTTTTGCTAAAATTATGCAACAGAATATTTATTGAGATTCCAAGTGGCAATCCAACGACAAAACGTAGTGGCTCATTGGGAGTTTCTGATGGTTCAACAATCTGAAAAGCAATCCGTGCAAAAAAGGAGAAACTTGGAGAAGGAAAAGAGACTTCTGCTGAAAGAGATAAAAAATTCAAGCGCAAAGTACTAAATAAAATTACAGGAAATGCTTTAAATCCTTATATTGCATAAAAGCGATAAACTACGTTTTTCAATCTATAATTTCTTTTAATATAAAGTTTATAGACCTCAGCCCATTTAATAGAAATGCTGCCAAGCGATGTAAATTTCTTTTGCAATAGAACTGCATGAGACTGGAATAAAGCAGTCAGGCTTGAACCGCTAATGAATTTCTTCGCTTGTGTTGCTGCGAAAAGCCTTTCAATACCAATCAATACCTCAGTCGTGGATTGACTTGGAGATACCACCAATGACTGACATCGTCTTAAATATATAAATTATACAGAATTTGCAAAAGAAATGTGAGCAATTCATCTACAAATTATAACTTGATTATAAGTACATTTTTTTCTCATTGCTCATAGATTTAAAGAATAGATATTCAGCAGTGGATATTGCGGATTTCCAAAAGTAAATAAAAAAAAAATAGCAACTCTAGGGAGATGAGAAAAGAGTACTCTCTAAATCGAATCATTTCCGCTTCTACGAGTTGTGCTGCATTTGTGTAAGCACCAGGTTTCATATCAAATAATGCTGCTAGGCGCAAAATGGAAAGTTGGAAACGAAATTCTTCGAGCGTTGCTAACATTACCTTATCCACAGATGAAAAATTACTGCCAACACACTCCAAAAGCCTGAGGCCCTGCAGAAAGGAAAGCTAAAACCAGTTTCGAACTTCTGAGTAAAAAAGAAGCTGATGTTAAAAAACATGAGAATATTCACCTCATCAGCAGCGTTGAGCGCAGTTTGTAAATCATCACCACAGGAAAGAATTTTAACAGTGAGTTCACACTGCGTAAGAATTTTTAACAAGTAAGACAGTAATTGTGCCGTACCGGCCACTCCCTCATCGCCTTCACATAATGCATTCATATCTCTAAAGAAATAAAAATTATTTCTAGTACAATTTTGACTATAATTGATGAAGGCATTCCTACTGTTGATTTGAAATCTCGCTCTCGAACTTGGAAAGAATACTCTTAAATCAAGAAGCTCAGTTCAGTGCTTCTTGATCTGGTGAGAGCAATTGAGAAGTATATTATCTTTAAGAAGTGTGAAAAGTGCATTATCATCAACTATTCTAATTTAGTTTTAATGACTACACCGACATCAATTAGTGCAATAAGATGAGAGCATAGAATAGGCCATCGGTAACATTTTTTCTCTGCCAAAAATAAAATTTGAGCATATTACTTAGAAAGTAATACTTGATTAAAAGCCTTTTTTCAATCATTCGTTGCTGATAAGATCGGGATTGAGAAGCTTCTTGCATCATTTCATACGTACGCTCAAGGAGAGCACGAGTTCGTTCCCCAGCTTCTGCTAATTTTTTGTTTATAGAAAGATTGTTTGTGCTAGAAGTACTGTCATCCGAAAATGCCTAAAAAGATAAGAGAATTTTACAGAAGAGTGTTTCTTGATTTACTGCGACAACATAAGTAGTAACAATTAAGATGTCACCTCAATTGTAGGTACTAAAAGCGGCATTGAGCATCGCAGAAATTTATAATGGCGCACAGCAAATGCTGGCAATAGTGAACATATAGGATCATGAGCACTTGCTGCATTTAATATTAATATAAGCTTGGCCAAATCTGCAAGAAAATTTACGGAGTAGGAAATCTCTGCAAGTAATCACAGATAGTCTCCAGTTCAATGCAATATTAGCTGTGTCTTGCATTTCCATTCTTTTATGAATTGTGAATTAAAAACAAAAAAAAAAAAACTGAATAAGTACTTTAAAAAA